TGGCATTTATCGGGATGTGGTCTGTACGGTATATCCCCACAGACGTGAGGAGTTTGACTTATATATGCACAGGCTGGTTGATCTGGGCAACAAATATGGTGGGTCAGCTTTCTATGACTACCATAGATCTTTTTCTGCCAAAGTGTCTGGCGCCTTCTCACAGTACGGGACAAGGTCCAACTGGAGTAAGATTGATACGATCATTTTTGCAGGCACTTTGCAGGTCTAAGAGCACCGGCCTGTGCACACTGCTCCTCCATGGCTCATACTGCCATTTTTTGTCCGACCACTGCGAACGAACCTACCACCTCGCAGGGCACTAGCTCCGCTGTGTCAGCAGAGAGAACACCCAAAGACAAACTGGGTCGACCTATCAAGTTTTTGGGGAAGTCCCAAATATGTAATAATTTCAATGTCGGTGCATGTAATTACAGCGGTTGTCGGTTATTGCATATATGTTCAAAATGTTTTAGGGCACATGCGAAAACCATGTGTCCAAATAAAATGTACCCTAAACAATACTTAACTGAGATAAATATTTCTGTACTCACGGCATTACTGTCACGACATCCATCTAGACATTTGGTAGACTTCATCATCACTGGTCTATCACAAGGATTCCATACTGGTCTCATACACATGCCTTCAGGAATCCTTTAATGTCCTAATTTACAATCTGCACAACAAAACCCTACAGCGGTTAGCACACTCATAGCCAAAGAAGTGGCAGAGGGCTTCCTATTGGGACCCTTTCAGTCCCCTCCTTTTTCCACATGGCGGACAAACCCCATCGGTATTGTCACGGGGAAATCTTCCCACAAACAAAGACTTATCATCGATCTGTCTGCACCTCACACCTCTGCCTCACCTAGTCTGAACTCCCTTATCCCCTCTGAGGAATTTTCACTTCAATACCCCACCATAGATCACGCCATTACAGCTATCATGCAGGCAGGGGTCGGAGCATGGCTCAGCAAGACTGACATTACAAATGCCTTCAAATTATTGCCTATCCACCCTACACTATGGCACCTGCATGGCATTAAGTGGGCCGGGCACTACTACTTTTTCTCACGCCTAGCGTTTGGTTCAAAAAGTAGTCCGGCCATTTTTGACGTATTCGCCGAAACATTATGCTGGTTATTATTAAATGTAGCCAGATGCCCTACAGTTATACACTACCTGGATGATTTCTTACTGATCGAAGAGAACACTTCCCCTCCCAGTAGCCTCATAGCAACCATCAGTCTTTTTAAACAGGTGGGTGTTCCAGTCTCCCCCACCAAACTGAAGGACCAGATACAGTCATCACCTTTCTGGGAATCATGCTAAACTCAGCCACCATGCAAGCCAGCCTGCCACGCACCAAGATAGAGAACATTCTCACCAACATTAACCTCTACATACACCTCGGTACTTGCAATCGCAAAGAATTGCAGTCTCTACTTGGGTCACTGAACTTTGCCATGCGCATTATACCTCAAGGTCGGGCTTTCATCTCACGGCTCCTAACCATGTTCCCACTGTTTAGACATGATGCACACAGGTTACCACTGGATACCCAAGCCACGGCAGACCTACTTATGTGGAGAAACTTTTTGGCCACCTGGAATGGGAAAAGCATGTTTCTCCCTAAATTGTCTGACTCCTCACCTACCATCTGGTCAGACGCGGCGTCTACCACAGGTTTTGCAGCAATTTACGAGAATGAATGGCTTTGGGGTAGCTGGCCTCCAGAGGTACAGGACCTGGAAGGGTTTTCCACTACCTCAGCTCTATTTGAGATGTATCCCATTGTGGCAGCTGCCGTGACATGGGGGCATCTATGGGCAGGTTCGTCAGTACGTTGCCACTCAGAC